CTTAAATGGTGAGTTAGATGAAGAAGTGTATATGGAGCAACCAGAAGGGTTCGTGTTGCCTGGAAATGAAGGAAAGGTGTGTAAATTGCAAAAGTCATTGTATGGACTTAAGCAAGCACCTAAACAATGGCATGAGAAATTTGATTCTGTTGTTTTGGCTCATGGATTTTCTCATAACTCTGCTGATAAGTGCATTTATTCAAAGTGCACAAAAGAGTATATGGTCATTATATGCCTTTTTGTTGATGATATGTTGATAATAGGAACTAACATGAAAGGTATAAATGAAAGATCTTGGAGAAGTAGATACTATATTGGGTATCAAAGTAAAGAAACATAGTGGGGGGTTTTGCTTTGAGTTAGTCACATTATGTCAAGAAGATGCTCAAGAAATTCGAGCATTTGGATATAAAGGAGGCTAACACCCCTTATGATGCATCTTTTAAGCTTTGTGCGAATGAGGGAAGGGCAGTGGCACAAGTTGAGTATTCTAGTGCTATTGGAAGTTTGATGTATGCAATGGGATGTACTAGGCCCGATATTGCTTTTGCGGTGGGCAAACTTTCTAGATTCACTAATAATCCTAGTGCCGATCATTGGAGAGCTATAGGAAGAGTCTTTGGTTATTTGAAAAGAACCAAAGATTTGGGACTCTTCTATAGCAACTTCCCCACTGTACTAGAAGCATTTTCTGATGCTAGTTGGATCGCGAGCGCTAGTGATAATAAATCCACAACAGGATGGATTTTTACACTAGGTGGTGGAGCTGTTTCTTGGGCTTCAAAGAAACAAACATGTATTTCACACTCCACTATGGAAGCCGAATTCCTAGCCTTTGCGGCGGCTGGAAAAGAAGCAGAATGGCTAAGAAACATGTTGTTAGATATAGAGTTGTGGTCACAACCGATGCCAACCATTTCTGTCTTCTGTGATAGCGAGGCTACATTGTCTAGAGCTTATAACAAGATTTACAATGGTAAGTCTAGACATATTAGCCTAAGACATGACTACGTTAGGTATTTGATTACTAACGGAATCATTTCTATTGTGTATGTAAGGTCGTGCAACAATTTGGCAGATCCTCTTACAAAGGGGCTGCCAAGAGGCATGATCTATGAGACATCCCAAGGGATGGGATTGAGACCTTTTGTATAGTTAGAAGTAATGGAAACCCAACCTTTTCTTTAGATATTCCCTAATTAAAAGGTTCAATGTGGTAATAACAAGTTACTCTAACTGGGAACTAGTTTATTGTACAAGTAAATTAGTTGTAAGAAGGGTGAGTTATAGAACTCTTAATGACGTTCATTTGGAATGTCACCTATGTGAGCATTTGGAGTGGTGCCGCTCTAAAAAAAGTAAAGGTCAACTTTTGTATATGCTCATGAAACAGGATAAGCACATGGCCATAATAGTGCTACCCTTGTTGGTGGTTGTGTTTTAGAGAAGAGACGAGTACGTGTGTGGTGTCTCCGGTTCTAGCTTTGGATCTTGACTCCTAGGCTTAAGCCCGTCATTGATTCGCTATTAACTTTGAGATGCTTACACTAAGTAAAGGTTCAAATCGAAAAGATACCTTTATGTATGCGTTACTTGTTCAAGGCAGGTATTCTCGACTCTTATTGACTAAGTGGGGGATTGTTAGAGTAGTCAAAGAGTAAAGGAAATACCACATTGGTGGGAGAAAGAAAGTGCAAGTTGTTTTTAAGTTTGCTTTCCACTTTAGTTATTGGAAAAAGTGGTTAGTGGGCTTTTGGAAAAAGTGTGGGCTATTTAATTGGAAATATTAAATCGCACTACGCACTTAGCACTTTGCACGTTTGCGCGACGCGTTCGGATTTGAATTTTTGGCTAATTAATTACCGGAATTATTTTAATTAATTAATCTGGATAATTATTTGATTTTGAGTTTTGTGAAACGACGCAACCCTTCGGAAGGGAACTGCCATTTTCACTATAAAAGTCTTCTGCAGCCGAATTTCTGTTCCAACGTTCTTCTTCTTCTCCTCGTTTTCCTTCTTCAAAAACACAAACACAGAAGTCAAGAAAGGTGCTGCTTTCTGACTTTGATTGGAGGGACTCCTGGGGGTGGTTTGCCTAAATCCTACCGGCAACAAAGTAGTGGGGGCAAATAAACACTCTTAGGAGAGTGATCTAATCACGCCTTCAATCGTTCTCTTCCATACGGTTTCCCTGACAAATTCTTTCCTCCCCATTGAATTGAGATTGATTAATGTTTTCGCGTATGGTGTGTGCTTTTGATGTTTTGCAGGATGGTTGATCTGAGTCATCGGTACGTTCAGTACTTGGTGAACCATGAGAAGTATGGGTCGATGTTTGAGAAGTGGCAGTACAGTGAGGCAGGACCTCACTAGGTGTTGGACCTGGACATGTTCAACATGTTCAGGTGTCGGGAAGCAATGGTTGGGATTCTCATCCATCCCCAGTGGAGTCTCCTGACGATGGACAAGCTCATCTACCGCCAGCTCTGCGTGGAGTTCTACTCCACCTTCGCCCAAGTGGTCCTGACTAGCAAGCGGAACCGGCGGTATGTGGAGTTCATGTAGGGACGTAAGTAGCACGTACTGACTTATGACGGCTTTGCCCAGGCCATGGGCTAGACCCCACTCACATGACCATGACAGAGAGGCAGTACACAGCTGACTTCGGCTACGACATGGCCTCCCACGCCATCTGCCTCTAGCAGCACTAGAACAACAAGTTCAAGGGCTCCAACACCAATGCAGTGAAGCTCCAAATTTTGTGGATGATCCTGTATACACTTCTCACGAGGTCGATCATTCCCAGTCTGTGGTCGGGGCATATGATCACCAACAGGGGGTTGATAGCCCTCCATACCTTGAGCCGCCCAGCAGAGCCACTCCATTTGGATCAGTAGTGACTACCACGTTTGCCAGATGCATGGGCCACGTTTACCAAGATGGCCTCGACACTTCGGGGTTGATAAGAAGGACTGTTCCATCATCGGCCAGACCAGTAGTTCCCTATGGAGACACTTTATAAATGAAGTTGGTGCTCAAAGGAGAGCGAGGGATTGAGTACCTCGAGGGGCTTCGACCATTGGCCGCTCTGAGCCCGAAGATTGACCCTGCTCCAGTGGAGCATGATCTAGAGGTCCCTCTTCCCGAGTAGCCGGCTACTCGAGCTCTCAGCCGCCACCGTTGTGCGGCACCACCACCACCATCAGTAACATCATCATCCGGAGCTGGTCCTTCCTAATCCGGAGTCCACATCTAGTAGCATGTGGATCACCTCGAGGAGCAGTTTGTCAGAGTCAACACCCGATTTGATCGATCCACCGACTTATTGGAGAGGATTGCTCGACGCCAAGGTGTTCTTTCGGACGATGAGCAGTGACTTTCGCCCAGAGAGAGGTAGCCGACGTTGATCACTACCGGATGGTGATACGTTCCGCGGTAGTTGGTCATGCATGCAACCGAACGGTGATGAGTTCTGCGGTCTCCATTGCCTAGGTTTAGGTGTGCTACCGGATGGTGATACGTTCCGCGGTAGTCACGCTGTAGTTTGACACCGGATGGTGATTCATTCTGCGATGGTCAAACCCATATGAGGGTAGCCATATTTAAGTAAGTTAGTAAGTAAGGATAGTAGTGGCGCCAGCTAAGTCGAGGTAGGGGCCCCACAATAAGATAAAGGATGAGATAACACAGTTTTAAGACTTAAAATTTTTAAGGGTGTAAGTAATAACAACTTCTACCTGTTTAAGTAAGTGTTTTAAGTAAAGTGGTCAAGTATTCGAGATTAAAAACGTAAAAGCGTAGACCGACCCCATCTCACTCACCAGTTTAAAGAGCTAGAGGAGGAGCCAGTGGCGGATCCAGAAATTTTACATAGGGGTGTCCTCTCTTAAAAATTAAATTAAATTAATAATTATTAAATAAGAAATATATGATTTGTACAAAATAGAACAAAGCACATGACGTGTTTCGTATTCAGGAAAAATTAAAAAATATAATCGATGTCTAGCAATGCTCTACAAATCTATATCGATATATCCAACTAGACAAGGGGAGTCCGTAATTGGGTTAATCCTTAGATTTTGAAAATAATTGGCGATAAGAAATAGCTTTTTACTAGTATATTTGGATTTAAAATATAAGAACAAATGAGTTGTGGTCTAATAAAAAATATATATTTTCTCGTAATAGAAGTGACCCAAGTTCAAATCACATAAGCTACCACTTAAACGTTTTTTATTTACATGTACACAAACTACTACTCGGGGTTGGGATAATCATTTTTCCAAATTTTAAGAGTATCTCGCTATCACTTAAATATTTTTCATCCATATACAAACTACTATCGGGGGTTGAATAATCGTGTTCCCAAATTTTAGGGGTGTCCCGGGACACCCCCATAGTGCCATGTATCCGCCACTGGGAGGAGCTAGAGGAGCAGTTAGTGAGCAGTGAGTTCGAGGGCAGCCAGCTATAAGAGGGCAGTATAAGCGTCACGGAGGATGCTTAGTCAAGGTCTTCAGTAGCAAAAACATTAGAGATTGTTAGTTATGTACATTTATGATTATGAGAATAGACTGGAGATGATTTTGAGATTTTGAGTATTGAGTTTGCCCATGTGTTAGGGCGTTGCATTGAACTATAAGAGTGTGTTTTCGGTATTTTGTTTATGAAAATTTTCCAACTGTAATTTAAGATTTGAATATTTAATTTTTTGAAGGGCATTTTAGTAAAAGTAGTGCTTGGCCGAGCTAGGGTGTTACAGGTCGGACTTAGTTGCAATCACAAAGCATATTAAGAATTCTTTGAATATTCGAAAGGAGGGAGGAAGAAAGTTGTGATTGTGTGAATGAATGAGGGGGTAGGTGAGGTATTTATAGGGCAGGAAGGGGTCGTTTGTGCTAGAGGCGACGCCCAGATCACAAATGTTAAATGCGATCTACGACTGATTGCTTGACACCGCAATTATCTGCATCTTACCCAAGACTGTCCCGCGTTCCACGTCAGCAATCCGAGTCGAGTCTCCAACAAATCGTGTCATGCGGAAACCGTGAAGTGAAACGGGGATTGTGTCACTCAAACGTGATCCGACAGTCGATCGCGTGCCTTGTCAGCGATTCAAGTAGATTGTGTTTAACAAAAGTGATCATATTTAAATCACTATTAGTACCAATATCGCATTTGTTGAAAGCTATTTTAATCAAACAGGTGTACAATGAAATTTTTTATTAAAAAACTTATTGTATTTTGGGATTTTTTTTAACTATTATAGTTGGGGAAAAATTCTTGCTTTTCCATAGCGAGATTTTTTTGTTGTCATAGCCATAACGAGATTAAAGAATCGAGAAAGACTTGAGATGGGTCGGTTTCAGTTTTGGCTAAACTAAATTCGTTTTGACCGGATTGGGCGATTTCCCAATCTAATGTAGCTGCAATTTACATCAACTTGCAGAAAGCTTCCCAATTAGAAGAAACTAATTTGGTCTTACGACTCTGCCGCCGTAGGTGAAAAGAAAAATGCTCTCAACTGATTCGACTGTTCAGCCTTCTCCGGCGCCGGTTGGCTTTGAGACTGGCCGGCCGCCGGACACGGGCCAGCTTTCTGATATGCGTTCTGCTTGTGTCCTGCCCTCGGTTCTGAAGGATCACCTATCCTCGAGTGCGATGATAGTGGATCCAGTCGTCAGAGATTCTCAGGCGGGCGTTAATACATCGGCGGTAGCAGGGAATAACATCCCTGACAACCAAATGATCCTCTCGACTGCGACACCGCCACAGGCGGCGACGGCTCTGAAACAGTCGTTCTCGTATGCAAGCGCCCTCACGGGAGGGCCGATCGCTACTACGCCGCAACCGCTGTCAGCTCAATGGACCCCGGTCGGGGAACACGATCTGATCCCCGGTGAGCGTAATGGGGAACCAGCGCTGAATATCTCCTTGGATTTCAAGAATAGGTTATGTGCTCCGTGGCATCGTACCTTGGTGGTTCGGCTTCTGGGGATCAAGATTGGATTCCACGCCCTCACTTCTCGCCTCAGGGCGCTATGGCGACCGACGGGGTCGATGGAGGTCAGGGACCTTGATGAAGCCTGCTTCCTGGTAAAGCTTCACAATGATCAAGACTATTTTAAAGCGCTTACGGATGGACCTTGGATGATCTTTGATCATTACATGGCGGTCCAACAATGGACTCCAAAATTCAAGGTCTCGGACCCCCTTCCAAAGACGATGATTGTATGGGTTCATCTCCCTGAGCTGAAAATCCATTTTTACCACAAGGAGGTGTTGACGACTTTGGGTAACCTGATCGGACGCACAATCAAGCTCGATTATCACACTCTCACCCAGCAGAGGGCAAAATTTGCCCGATTGGCAGTGGAAGTTGATCTGTCTAGGCCCCTCGTTCCAAGAATCTGGCTCGACGATGATTGGCAGCCCGTTGAGTATGAAAATCTACCTGCAGTGTGTTTCGAGTGCGGTAAGATTGGCCATTCGTCGACGTCCTGCCCCCTGCTCCGGCCAGCGGCTGTTCCGAAGGCTTCTGATTTCGTAGTCGGCGGCGCCCAAACCCTTTCGCCGGAGGAGTCATCGGAAGCTAACGCGGGTTTCGGCCCGTGGATGCTAGTTACGCGGAAAGGACGGCGGAATCAGAGGGAATCGAACGGTAAAGGAAAGGAAAAAGATTTGGGAGGCTCCGTTAAAGCAAAGGAGAAAGATCTGGGGAGCCTCCATCATGGGACCGTGGACAAAAATAGCAAGAGTGCTCTGAGAATTAGGGAGCCGGAAGATTCCATTTCGGGGGAGGCGCAGCAGCTCTCGATTCGCCCGCAACGGTCGCCGGTTCAAGATAGAAAAGGTAATGGGGGGAAGCGAGTTGGGGAAGAAAGAAGGAATGGCAAGGAGATTTTGATCGAGGAAGGACCTTCTGTTGGGAAAGGCCTGTTGGGCCCTGGCCCAATAAAGGGAGTCACCACAAAGAAAAGCCAGCCCACCTCAGAGGGCTCTATGGCCTCGACGTCCAGCCCGAAAAGCCTGACTACCCACGGTTTGATCAATAGGCCGAGCGAGGTGCCTCCATCTGGATCGCGTGCACAGGGCAGCCCAAAGGCTCCGGCCCTCACCCCTCCACCCACGTCGGTCTCTACAGGGCCCAATGGAACAGTTCTGCAAGTGATACAAATCTCCTCCCAAAACGAGGAGCAGCTGCGCCGTGCCGATCATCCTTCTCCGTCAACGGCCAACAGAACCAAAGGGAAGAAGAGTTCCAAGGGGCGGTCGAAGAAGGGGTCGCCAGCGAAGCTAAATCCGGTCCGCCCCCTTCAGATTTGGTCTCCGATGAAGGATAGAAAAACAAAGTCGAAATCGAGGATGGCATCTCTCACCTTGCAAGAAATCAATGCTTGGACAGAGGCGGCACAATCGGCGACGAATTTTCCGATGGCCAAGGGCTCGAGCGGTGTCCCTCCTCCCCCCTCGAGCCACGGTGATTCGATGAGCGATCCGCCCACCTCAGCGACCTTGGCTAGCGGCCCTGCCTGATCTCCCGGCCTCTCCCTGTGTTCCGAGACCTGGTTGTCTCATTCCCTCTCGTCTTTTCTTTTCCTAGTTTTTGTTATTATGTCGTCTGTTACTCCTATTAAAATTTTTGCTTGGAACGTGGGGGGCGCAGGTAGCAAGGCATTTGCCCGCGCGCTGAAGCTCTCAATTCGTCAACATCGGCCGGATTTCATCATTTTGATGGAGCCGCAGATTAGTGGGAATTCGGCTGATCGGGTTTGTGATAGGTTGGGATTCTCTAATTCTATCAGGGTGGATGCTGAAGGCCGAAGAGGAGGGATCTGGATTTGCTGGGACGGCGGACGTTTCTCGACTGAGCTTTTGACGGCCTGCAACCAGCACATTTCAGTTCGAGTTCGTCAAGGTGGGGGGAGTCCGTGGGTGCTGACCGCGGTATACGCCTCGCCTCAACAACACCTCCAAGGGTCGCTGTGGGACAGCATTATCGACCAAAGCAAAGTGTTGGAGGAGCCTTGGATCCTCACAGGAGACTTCAACGCCATTCGCGTCCCGGCGGAGAAGTCGGGCCCACCCTCAGCAGCTACCATCAGGCGGTGCCGAAAGTTCAATGACAGAATCAATTCAGCCGAGCTGATCGATCTGGGTTTTTCGGGTTCGAGGTTCACGTGGACGAGGGGAGACTCTCTTCAATCCCACAAAGCAAGCAGACTAGACCGGAGCCTCTGTAACCTGAAATGGAATGAGTGTTTCCCTTCCACTTCGGTGTTGCATCTTCCTCGGCTCCAGTCTGACCATAATCCTATCCTGACCACTGTGGCTACCCAGGGGCCGTCTCTGCCCGACTCTCGTTCTTTTAAGTTTGAGGCAGCGTGGCTCACTCATAACAACTTTCATGATTTTGTCGCAGGTACCTGGGAGGAGGAGGCTCTTCTTCCCCAAGCGCTTACTTCCTTGGCTGAAAAACTCAAGGAATGGAATAAGAATGTTTTTGGGAATGTGCAGCAGAAGAAGAGGAGATTGTTGGCCAGACTGCAAGGAGTGGAACTCAGACTCTCTCACTCTTTCTCTCCAGCCTTGGCGAAGCTCCATGCTAAACTAGAGGCTGAGCTTTACAAGGTGCTCGAGCAGGAAGAGCTCTTGTGGTTTCAGAGATCTAGGGAGCAGTGGGTGAAATTTGGGGAGAGGAACACGGCCTACTTTCATCATCAAGTTAATGTTCGGAGAAGACGCAACAAGATCTTAGCGCTTCGCGATGCTAATGGGGATTGGGTTGAGGAGCCTCAGAAACTTGCTGCTCTTGTTTTTGACTCTCTGGCTTCTTTATACTTGCAGGATGATTCTGTTTACGAGGATAGACTGCCAAAGAATGCTTTCCCCAGACTGGACCAGGGGGAATTAATGCTTCTTCTGCGCCCCTTCTCTGCCAGCGACATTCACCGTGCCATTTTCGATATGAAGCCTTATCAAGCTCCCGGGCCAGATGGGTTCCAAGCGGTTTTCTATCAGCAGATGTGGCGGGTGGTGGGAAGGGCTCTAACAGATTTGGCCATTAATTTTTTCTCTACAGGTGTTTTGCCAGAGACGGTCTCAGAGTCTACTGTGGTTTTAATCCCGAAGGTGGAAAGCCCGGAAGTCGTTTCTCAGCTGCGGCCCATTTCCCTCAATAATGTCAATTTGAAGGCTATCACTAAGGCTATGACCAGCAGGCTGAAACCGGTGATGAGGAAACTGGTTTCCCCAAGACAGAGTAGCTTCATCCCTGGCAGACAGACGACGGACAATATCATCGTTGTGCAAGAAGCGCTTCATACTCTCGAGAGGAAAAAAGGGAAGAAAGGAGGGCTCATCCTGAAGATTGACTTGGAGAAGGCGTATGACATGCTGAGATGGGATTTTCTGCGTGACACTCTCAAAGAAGTAGGGCTGCCCAGTACGTGGATTAACTGCATAATGTATTGTGTGGAGCAGAACCGGATGAGGATCCTGTGGAATGGGGAGCTGTCCCCTACTCTGACCCCGACTCGGGGAGTGCGCCAGGGAGACCCTCTCTCTCCCTACCTTTTTGTCTTGTGCATGGAACGCCTTTCTCATATGATTGATGAAGCTGTTAAGAGTAGGAACTGGAAGCCCATCCACCTAACCAGGGGAGGGCCGCCACTTACTCACCTCTTTTTTGCAGATGATCTGCTTTTGTTTGCAGAAGCAGAAACGAGACAGATCAGGGTTATTAGGCAGTGCTTGGATGACTTCTGCTTCAGCTCCGGACAAAGAGTCAATTACAGCAAGTCTCTGCTGTATGTGTCGCCTAATGTGGATCGACAGAGAGCGGACCACTACAGTAGACGGGCTGGCATTCCTCTTAAGAGGGAGCTAGGGAAGTATCTGGGTCTTCAGACTATTCATGGAAGGGTCACTCAGAGCCGCTATCAAAACCTCCTCCTCCGTATCCAACAGAAGCTGGCTCCCTGGAAGGCGAAGAAGCTGTCTTTTGCGGCCAGGCTTACTGTTGTCCAATCTGTTTCGTCCTCCCTTCCTACTTACTGCATGAATACTGAGCTAATTCCCAGTAATGTTTGTAAGAATATTGACAGGATGAACAGGGACTTTATATGGGGAGACGAAGAGGATAAATCGAAAATGCATCTGGTAGCCTGGGACAAGATGACACAGCCGAAGTTACAGGGTGGAGCTGGTTTAAGATCCATTAAGCAAGCGAATCTCGCGATGCTTGCTAAGAGTGGCTGGAGATTGATGAAGGAGAAAGACAGCCTCTGGACCCAGATTATGGTGGCTAAGTATGGTCGTCAGCGTGAGAATCTTGAGATCATCCGCCCAATTCAGGGAAGTTCCTTTACCTGGCGAAGCTTTTCTAAAGCTTCTGACCTTCTCCGGAAAGGTTGTGCTTGGAATATTAAGAATGGTAAACGCACTAAGTTTTGGCTGGATCCTTGGGTTTCGCAGGTTCCGCTGAAGGAGATTGCTCACGGGGACATCCCGGAGGCCGATATTGAGGAGCCGATCGAGAGCTTCGTGGAGGAGGATGGTACTTGGCGGACGGAGCGTTTTGAAGACCTCATCCCGAGTGATGTTTTCCAGAAGATCCTTAGCATTGGAGTTGACAGGTTGGCCACGGAGGATGATACCATCTTCTGGTCAGCCTCGTCGGACGGAAGATTTTCGGCTAGTTCAGCCTTTTCTCTCCAAAACCAGCGACCGCCTGACCCGGACGAGGCAGTCTGGAAGACCATTTGGAGCCTGCCCACTCCGGAGAGGATTAGGAGCTTTATGTGGTTGGCGTTCTTGGGGAGATTGGCTACTAAATCTCTCCTTTTCTCCAGGAAAGTCACGGACAACCAGAGATGTGGGTGTTGCGGGCAGCCGGTCGAAACCATCCTCCATACGCTTCGAGATTGCACTGCGGCCAGATTCTTCTGGCTTCGTCACAGCCCGCCTGGCCTACAGTCAAGCTTCTTTTCCATGGGCGAGCGTGACTGGCTGCGTGAAAACCTCAGGAGCAGCGAGACTTTGGGCTCGGGTATGAGCTGGGCAGCCTGTTTCAGTGTTGCGTGTTGGCTCCTTTGGAAGAATCGGTGCACTTTCTGCTTCAGAGGCCCAGGTTCTGCTCTCTCTCCGTCTTCCCTTGAGTTCTCGATCATGGCTAAATGCAAGTTGTGGCATGAAGCGTGGCAAGCCCCCTCACCCCTCCCCTGTGGTAGAGGGCCGACGACTGCCCGTACTACGGTTATGGTTGGGTGGACTCCTCCGATGCATGGGTGGGTGACTCTTAATGTGGACGGGGCCTCTAATGGCAACCCCGGAGCTGCTGGAGCAGGAGGGGTGCTACGCGACTGGGCAGGCAACTGGATAGCTGGTTTCATTGCGAACTTTGGGACGGCCACGGCTATTTTGGCTGAGTTGTGGGCGGTGTTTCACGGCTTAGATATGGCTTGGAAGAAAGGATACAGGGCGGTGCGCTTGGAGTCGGACTCCCAGCTTGCGGTTCAGCTCATCAACAACAGGAGTGATCCGGTTCATCCTCATGCTACTCTTCTCTCAGCCATCCGTAGGAAGATTGGTCAAGAGTGGTTGGTTAACATCTCTCATGTATACCGGGAAGGGAATAGAGTCGCGGACTGGCTCTCGAAGCACAGTCTCGTCTATCCCTACGGGGTGCATGAGGTTGCTAACCCGCCCTCGGAGTTAGTGTCTATTGTTAGAGAGGATGCTAGGGGTGTCTCTTTCGAGCGTCGGATTGTGACGCCGGTTTCTACTAGCTTGTAAGGACCCCGGGGTCTCCCCCTTTTTTGGCTGTTGCCTCCCTTTACGCAAAAAAAAAAAAAAAACTAATTTGGTCTTACGAAAAAAGGAAAAAGGATGGAAAATTGAGATTTTAGAATAAATTAAGGGACCACGGTCCTTGTTGTTAGTGTTGAATCAAGCAGAAATAAGAATTAGTATAAGCCATTTGTCACGGCTCCTATATCAGTTTGCTAAGTTGAATTAGAAGTTTCCTACCAAAAGTGCCCCAGAAAACAAGGGACATTCACCGACCCCAATTACCAATAGCTAGCCACAAGTAGAGAGATTGAGAACACCGCTCTTATACAAACCCTTAATTTCAAAGAGATGCCTACAACCCATTTGAAGCTAAGAGAGCAGTTAGGGAAAGCAAGAGTATCATTTTTTTACTTAAATTATTAATTAATGAGCATTATTAATTAGAATATTACCCTATGCAAATCCTTCATTGCTGTAATTTCTCTAAATAGATTACTATTGTCTGTACTTCTAAAGCCTTCTTCTGTTTACCTTTTACCCACTGGTCCCGTCCGTTTGCTTTGTTCTTCACAAAGTCTCTCAGCCTTTTCTTTTTATCCTCTCTCTCTCTCTCTCTCTCTCTCTCTCTCTCTCTCTCTCTCTCTCTCTCTCTGCTGCCATGTGACAATCTGTAATATTGATGAAGCTAGCTAGCAAGTGGGATTGGGATGATGATCTTTATGTTGTCAGAATGATATTCGGGACAAAAAGTCTGGACTGAAATTTTTACTATTTGGTGGTTTGAGGCTTGTTTAGATATGAAGAAAAGGTTGATACCTTTCTTCTTACCATTTGAGTTCATCAATCACGAGAGGATGTACTGGAAACTGGTTAATTGCTTAGTGTAGCAACAAGTCGGCCATTTTTACTAATAAAATGATTACTAATATTGTAGAACGTAATTAACGTGAACAAAACTGGTTACCTTATTCATCATGGATGTGGCCCAATAGTAAAAGCCATTAATTTTACATAGGGTGAAAGCCTCCAATGAGCAACTCTAACTAAGAAGTGGGTTTGAAGTTGTGATTGTAACAATTTTAATTATTGAATACATTCATATAGTTCAACATACACAGTTTGAAAAGATAAAGTTGTAAAATACTGCATGTATTATTTTGTTTAGATACTATCTACAGTCAAACAAAAATGATGGACTATACATTATCACTAAAAGTTGAAATTTTTTATTTTAGATTTGGATTGTTTTTTCATTTATATCACTAGGATTTTTTTACATTAAAAGTATAGCATAAATAAATGTGATATTTCAAAGTAATTTTATATAAATCAATCTATAAAGTATAAGTTTCAAAATGTTTATATTATAGTAATTTATTACAATAAAAGGATTTACTATAAATCAGCACAGATGGTGATCAAGGTAAACTTTTTTTTTTGTCAAGTTTCCCTTCTCATTTGATAAAAGAAACTACTTGTCATCATTATTTTTTCACCCTAACTCAAAGTTGCTAGTCACATACTAGATGAAAAGTTAGGTTACCTTTTTGCTAGCTATTTATGATCATTAATAATTGATATTTTTCGATAATTATTAACTAACTTAAAAAATTTCTCAATAATTATAAAGTGACTATTTTTATACGGATGATATAAATTTCTTTTTGTGATTAAATACTATTTAAGAAATTCGAATTTGGGATCTTCAAGTTCAAACCTAATGGTTTTTCCATAGACCAAGCTCTTGTTCGTAATATTAAGTGACATTATTAACAAATTTAAAGTAAATTTTATTAGATATTACTCAATATGAATCCAGAATAATAGGTTAGATCCAAAACTTGCACATATAGTTTTTTAAGTCTGATCTTTGTCCAATAAGTTGACTCAAGTAAACATGAGATTACGTCTACCAAAGTTGACAGAATTACCATATTGGTTAAACACTTGAACGGAATTTTATCCTAAAATACTAAATTTGTTTAAAAAAATCTCAAAATACAACACCTATAACAAAACAAAACAAAACAAAAATCAATATACACATTTTTGGCCTAGATTGCTAAAGCATTCAGTGTTTTTTTAGCAGGTCGTTGCTAACCAAACTGATTTAGCAAAATCCTTGTGGACACCATTGATCTGGTTCCATCTATATACGTTTTGGTAATTCGATTGACTCAAAAATAAAAAATTAATTTGCCTTGACCGGACGACAGATCACAAAATTATTAACGGCCAAATTTTATCAAAATCACCAAATATCTTATTTAGGGCAGCAAATGATCTTATTTGTAGGCGAAGGTTGGGTAGATTTAGAGAAGTTATGAGAAACCAAAAATACTAGTGTCAATCAAACAACTTAGCGCAAACTTATGACCTTCTGAAGTTTCGGAGTATATTATACCGAATCACATTGTTGATGTCCGATCTGCAATGATTTTGCTAAATCACTTTAGTTAGTAGAGATCGACATGCAGCAATATCGGTAAACACTATAGTGATCTCGCTCAATCTTATATATATATATTGATAATTTTTATCATAAGTATTAAATTGGGAAAACTTTGAAGTGTAACGTTAGTAACCATGGGCAAGTTTGTGAGTAAAGTCAAGGTGTTCTTTTTTTTTTTTTTTTGGGTGCAATGTGTTCATCTTGCCCTTAGTTATGGAAAGATTGACCCAACCAAAAAAAGATAAAGAAGTGTTGGACGGTTTGGAGGAGTTATGTTCTGCTTGTAATTTTGCAATGATGAAATCTTGCAAGGGAAAAATGTATAGGGTAAAGTGATAGCCTTTCTTTTCACTTTCTTGCCATCTTACAAATAAGTCCAAGAGACAAGTCCAACACAATACAAAACAATGGCTTCCTCCTAAGAATCTGCTCCCGAACTCTCTCCATTCTTTATTTTCCTTATTGTTCTCTAAATTATATGGACTGTCAATTGGAGGGAGGGGGCACTTCTAGTTCTATCTAGGGCAAACCAACAAAAACCCAAAGGCATGCAGAGATAGATGGGGGAAAGGGTCCCTTCACGTCTCTCATGTCAATTTCAGTCCTTTGATATGTATAGCCTTTAATCGTAATAGGGGTCGATGTTAATAGTTATATTTATATATGCTTTCTGTCTCAACTCAAGAGAGGGGGTTTGGTTTGGTGTATCCAAATCCAATTCCTCGACCAAAAATCCAACTCCCAAAGAGACAAACGAAACGAATCACATAAGCTAGCAAACCTCTCAATCATGCATCTGTTAAACAGAATAAAAGGGAAAACTTGATTCATTTATTCAGTGATCAACGTAGAGTTTAAATACATCAAGTATAACTAATGGAAGCTATAAACCAGGTACCACAACCCCTATTACTCGGCCTATCTAACATGAAATAAGGAGCTGTTAACAACAACAGTCCTTAAAATAAGCAACAACTTAACACTACTAACCACTAACTCGACTCGATATTGACCAACTCCATAAGACACAAGGCCAGCCCAAAACCCTTAACTTGATTTGTCTTCTTGATCCAACATATCCTCCCCTAAACTCAAATCGGGTAGGTTTGAGTTTAAACCAGGACATGATCATTCTGCAGCAGCAACTAGTTCTTTATGCATGTCAGAAGCTTCACTCACATTTGATGGTGGCCTCCAATAAGATTGGCTTTGAGTTCAACTTCACTTTCTTTTATCTTCTTCATGGCAAGACATGCTCAACTGTTTTCATTTTCGGTTTCTTCACTGTACTCTCTAGACCTGTCCTCTCAGATCTCTCCTTCTATGTCATCTGCCAACAAGCAAGAACTACAACTCAAAGAGTTATATACAGGCTCTTAAATTGTTACTTGTTGCATGACATAGCAACCGAGCACTTCTAAACCAACCATTCGCCCACCGAATAAGGACCAGCCACTCTGCTGCCTACTCGTCGAATGACAATGAAACCAAACCTGCTTCACTCACAGGTTACACCACCTACTTCACTCATAGGTATGTCTAGCTGACACTCACACCCAACCTGATTCACTCTCAGGTTACACCACCTACTTCACTCGTAGGTATGTCTAGCTGACATCTCCCTAAACAGTTCCCCGAGCAGCCTTGCACAACCATGGATTCCCTTAATCCAATCATCATTCCTCATCATCTACTTCTCTGAAAGTCTCCAATTGAACTAAAGCTACAATCTCACACATAACCTTCCTAGTATACCTTGCAAAATCCAAAAGTTGTATGTATCCACTCCCAAAAGCCTCGCATTGGACCCTCTATACACTCCATTCACTATCTTCACCAAACCTCCAACTTGTGGAATCACAGTTCCAAGTTCACTTGATCAACCCTTAGCCGATGCTTGCTCTCAATCATTTCAATCTCCCCAATTTCCCATACATATCAATCACCTTCCTCACAACTCCTTGTTTATAATACCCTTTATCTGCCAACTACTTATAACCTTCATAGTAGCTTCAAGAGACAAGGTTGTCGTTCAAAGACAGCTAGGACAGTTGATCATTAAAAGACAACAAGAACAGCTGATAAGCTGTACCGCCCGCTGCCTGATGTAGCTGAGCGCTCCCCAGCATGGCCATAGCTTCAACAACCTTTGCCTGCAGTCCGTCCGGTGACTCCACAATTGTAGAACCTCGATCAGGTCCTTTTCCAAAATCATCCCTGTCACCTTAGCATCAACATCTTGCTCCAGTTGTTCTACTAGGGAATACAGATTCTCACCCAGCATTGTCTGCTGCTGATCTGGAGTAGCATTGGCAAGTGTTGCAGCAAGAAGTAAGACCAAAATATGTATTTCGTCCCCTGAACTGAAGCCCATTGAACCATGCTTCAGTTCACTGCATGAGCACCATCTTCTGTTACTCATCACTGTGTCTGAAACTGGAGATCCATCTCGAAGCTCGTATGCTTTAGGAGACTCTCGATCCCCATATCTTGCACACAAGTCCTGCTGAAAAATCCACATTCTGTTTCCACACAATCTGCATTCTGCACTACCTGAAATTCTAAAACCCTTCTTCTCAAACTACTTTATGAGAGTTGCTGCAATTCTCCACAGCCAAATCCAACAAGCACTTCCCAACAGCCCCTACAAAGCTTATAGTACTAAAGCTACTTCGACTACATTCACTTCCTCATGAGATGGTGATGTGGAATTGTTCTGAAGCCTAGCTTTGTTAAATAAAAACACTTCTTGATCTATAGTTGGAAGCTTGTAACCAGAGAGCAGCAGTTGAGGTTCTAATTTCATATGCAAACACATAACAAACTGATCATTCAAGTTGATCCTAGAATAAGATTCAACATACCACATAATTGCTTTCCTTGCAAGCGAGCTCAATGAATGACCATTCTCTGCTATGTGGACAAGCAACTTCCCTTGTTGGACCAAAGCTTCTATGATGCTTGAACTCATCTTCTCCCAACTCCCTCTCCATGCAAATTAGGCTTCGATCCTCTGAAATCAACTGAACAAAGCAGAAATCCAGTAGTGAACAATCATCATCGACCACCCATGAGATTAAGCAAACGCTGCATTATACTCTTCTGTTCACTGCTGATATTGTTTAATCTTTAGCTCCAAGTTCTTAATTTGTGCAGAAACCCTCCAAGCAAACAATTCCTCCACTTGGTCCTTTCCCACAAGAACTACTAGCTATCTCAACCTCAATGTTCTTCATTGTAGCGCAACTGTTTCGCAACATTCATCGAACGCAGGATCCACTTGCTTCCTACTGACATAGACGATGGCGTCGATTGGGACTCCGACTCTTACTGCTTCTGCCGTTCTTGATCGCTCGCGTCAATCCTCTTCTTCTTCTTCTTTTTCTTGCCACTAGCGGAAGCACTCCCTTCGTCAACATCGCCCTCTTGCTGTTCCATTCGGCGGTAGTTGGGAACCTGCTGCCGGAGATGGTGGACGATGTTGTCGACGGTGGAGCTTTACCTCCTTCACGATATCTGGTTTCCCTCTGCTTCCGCCGCCGCTGAATCTCAGTCCGGTTTCCATATCCTCCTTCGCCTTGAAAAGATCCATCTTCTCCAGCTACATCGACTTCCCCCTTTTCAATTTCTTGCTCCAGATTATCCCGTTTTTTTGCTCACCTACCACCTCATTCACTTTTAGCATCTATATCTTCATGATCCTGTTCTCCTTACACATAAGGCGGGCGGTAGCCGTTGAACAATCTCGCCACCATTGCTTCCACCACGCCGTTGTTGCTTTCCAATCGCCATCCATACTAAACGCCTCTGGTGACTCAGACAATCTTCTCCTTCCCTATGTTATCGTCGGTTTCACAGAGCGCTTGAGAAGATCTCCACCTCTCGATTTTAAAGTTGGATGGAGCCTTGATTCCATTATCTCTCTGGCTATTTACTAGCGACAATAGGCGGGCGGTGGTCGTGGTGGCCACCACCGCCGAAACCTGAATCACTTGGGTTTTAACCTATAAGGCTCTGATACCACTTTGTTAAACAGAATAAAAGGGAAAACTTGATTCATTTATTCAGTGATCAACGTAGAGTTTAAATACATCAAGTATAACTAATGGAAGCTATAAACCAGGTACCACAACCCCTATTACTCGGCCTATCTAACATGAAATAAGGAGCTGTTAACAACAACAGTCCTTAAAATAAGCAACAACTTAACACTACTAACCACTAACTGGACTCGATATTGACCAACTCCATAAGACACATGGCCAGCCCAAAACCCTTAACTTGATTTGTCTTCTTGATCCAACAGCATCAACCAGCACGCCTTTGCTGAGTGACTTTTTGTGACAATACATGGGTTGTCCACTGTGTTGGTCTCTGGCTAGCTATTTCCCCTTGCATATATAATATATTACTTGTTTAATACAGCTCTTGTTCATTTAGTTTGCTTTGTGGGTGTTTCTGGCAACAGATGGCCCTCGAGAAGATCTGGAGGATAGATGATTTGATCTTAGTGTACACTAACAATAACATTATATATTAAGAGTTGCTTGGACAATAGTTTTTCTACCGAGATTCTTTCGGTCAGGCTCCACGAAAGAACTGGATCAATAGAAATTAGGTTCGGAATCGTCGTTAGAGAAAGGGGAGAAATCATTTTGGGATGGTCGCCTTTAATTAACTCCTGATCGGCTGACCTGCAAGGTTGTGAAGCACCCAAGCTTGGGAGCCTAAGGTGGCCCTCGAACAATCAAATCGACGAGGAGATGATGATGATATGGCAGATCACGTTCAGTTATAAAAAAAAAACTTTGCGTTCAGTTATCAGATCGAGTAAAACTTTATTTATTTATTATTTTTCATAAACCCTAAATCACAAACTTTAATCCCTAAACCATGAATCTTAAATCATGAACCCTAAATCCCAACCCCTAAACCATGAATCTTGAATCATGAACCCTAAATCCCAACCCCTAAACCATGAATATAAAACCCTATAACCTAAACCATGAACGCTAAACCCCAATTCCTAATCTAAACAAATAAAATGCATAACAACTAAACCCTAACCCCATCCCCAATACACTAAACCATGAATATTAAATCTAATAATTTAGACCATGAATCTCAAACCTCAAACTCTATACCCTAAATCCCAGAACTAAACAAATAAGACGTATAATAACTAAACTATAAATCATAAACATATAACATATGTAAGCTAAACATCTCTGGAATGTACGTACAAAAACTATACGAGAAAAATATAAATAAATCATCATTCATCTAAACATGTTATTTTGATCGGTCAAAAAGTATATTTCAATACTAACCCTATCAACTTCAAATTTCTATATTTTATAACTGAAATCTATCAATGATATAAAGTATAAACATCTTCATTCATTTCATTCAATATAAATTAAAGGGTATGCCTACTATGACATGCATGTCACCGTGACATGGACTTTTCGGTCGACCTAATCCTGAAGGCGGTCGACTGGATTGACTAATTTGGGAAGCACAAGAAAGCATTGCGGTCGACTTCAAAGACCACCTGGTCGACCGTTCTTAGTTTAAGTTGTTATTTTTGGTTGACCAGAATAAACCTCGTTCGGCCATCGTTGGCGTCAGAAACAACATGGTCGACCGTAAAGGTATATAGGTCGACCACTTGATGGCAGTCATTAACAACATGGTCGACCAGATAAAGAAAGAGGTCGACCAGATAGACGATAAGTGTTCTATCAATTTATCCAATCATTTGCGTAAAATGAAGATCAAGTGTTGGTGTCGAGGTCGACCTAATCTGGTACGAGGTCGACCGAATACAAGAAAGTCAACCTATGCCCCGTGTCTTTTTTTGCTTATGTATGCCGATTTGTGTGGTTCTTTTGCTCGTTTAAATTACGCTTTAAACCATCATAACTAGTCATAAATAATGATAACAAGGACTCATCAATTATGCTATGAATTGAGGTCGACCGTCTTTAGGATTAGGTCGACTGCAATGCTTTCTCGTGCTGCCCAAATTAGTCAATTCGGTCGACCGCCTTTAAGATTAGGTCGACCGAAAAGTCCATGTCACCGTAGCAAAATCCTCAATTAAATAATAAGGAACCATATTAAATTTATATATTCTCTATAAAACATACTACTCATTGTATATCATGACAAACTAATATCATGACAAACTCCTTAATACGTTGACGGTGGTGCCAATTATGTAGACAAATTCAAGATTTTATCCGCTAACATAGTAAAAATATTTTTAGTGACCCATAAATAGTAGAGTGAAGTTTACATAGAATGGCCCAAAGAGGTTAATAAGCAGAAATATAATATTTTGAAAATTTGATGGAATTGAGTTGAAAATCCGACTCGACTATGTTCATGATGGATTGAAAATCTGACATCTCCATGGTCGGGAACGGGTGAAAATCCAACCCAACATGCTCGAGATCGGTTGAAAATCCATTCGGATTATGAGTTGGTAAAATTTTCAACCCATCTCGATCAATTTTTCAGAAAATTATTATTTTCAATGTTTATTGTCTTCCAATTCTTTCTTTTTTTTGTTTGTTTGGTGTAATTGGGGATGAGTTAGCTTGGTTACTTAATTTTTAGTAATCACGGTGGCTACCTTAATCTACACCATTCATTATTTCTTTTTCATTCTAATTTTAAATTAACGATGAAGATTATATTAGGGTAATTTTGGAATTGAAAAATATACCACACCTGATTACTCTATAAATTATATCCAAACCCTACCCTATTACAACCGGCCGCCAACCACCAAGCTCCCTCCCCGTAACCTCCCGCGACCCTCATCCCTCCCGAGAACCTCCTCCACCGCCGGCCGGCCTCCCCTCCACCGCCCTCCTCCCTTCCCCTCCTCTCTCGCATCTCCCATCCCTAGCATACCCCTCTCTCTCCTTTTCCCTGTTTAACATATAAAATCCCTCCATTATCGCTTTCGAATTCGATCCATTTCCGCCCCTTCTTTGAACCCTAGAAGTTTGCATCGCGCCCGACGCCCGAACCCCTGCTTGTTTGCTTCTTCTTCTCTGGGGGGGGTTCAGGGCTGGTTGCTTCTGTGCTTGTTTGGAACTCTGGTGGTTGTTTCAATTCCTTGACGCCATGAAACGTGGGTACACGGGTTCTCCGTCCAACTCTGGCGGTCCTCCTAAATCCAGATTGAAGCACTCCGCTGAAGGTAAGGATCGTTTCTGTTTTTAAGCTATTTGATTGCTGAACATGGCTGTTCCCAATCGGGGATTGGGCACGTTTCAGGTACTGAATTTTCTTTGCTTCCCTAAACAAGTTACTAACTTTTCTCATTTCTTCTCTGTTTCTGATGGACTATATTTGCTTTGTTAATGGCAATTGGAAGGAGGAAGGAAGAATTCCATTGGAATGGTATGTTTTTTTTTAAATGGGTAGTCATTTTTTTCCGTAGTGATTTTTTTTTTTAAAATGGTAGTCATTTTTTTCGTAGTGGTAGTGTTATTGTCGCATTGGTATTGTTTTTGTCGCATTGGTATTATTTTTGTCGCATTGGTATTGATTTTGTCGTATTGGTATTGATTTTGTTACATTGGTATTGATTTTGTCGCATTGGTAGTGATTAAATCTGCAATGGTATTGTTGTTTTGTGAAATGGTAGTGTTTTTATTTCTTGAATGGTATTGATGTTTTGGACAATGGTAGTATTTTTTAATGGATTGGTATTGATTTATTATATTTTTGTTGCAGTGGTATTAGTTTTGATGAACGAAATCAAGGAAAGATTGAGAAAAAGAAGGAAGAGAGATCTGGCTGAAAAAATTGTGGAAGTGAGAGAAAGAGAGAGAGAAAAATTATATTTAATATATTTATGTAATTTTCTAAAATGTAATTTATTAAAAAAGGTCATTAATAAATTTTTTGTTATACCCAGTTTGCCCTTAGTAACCACGGTGATTACTATAAAATAGTAATCACTGTAACCTGTCCCGTGTAATTGAGTAATTAAAAAAATTAATTTAAAAAAAAATGAGGGCCGTAAATCAGACGAATAGTCGAATAGCAGCCCATAATTAGCCCACCTAACCTATCCAAATATAGGCAACGGGCAAATAATTAGAAGCCAAAACGCAAGCAATTGGCATATGCAACAAAGCCAAAAGAAAAAAAACAGGTCTCGAAAAACAATAGCAGTAAAAACAACCCCTCTCCCTCCAAAACCCAAAACAAACGGGAAATTTTCCATTTTTTCCAAACGTCAAAAAGAAAAAGTAATCACATTCACAGCATAAATTAATAGAGCAGAAGCGCATCGACTGCAGTTCTTCCCTTGGGCCAGTTTCCCCTTGGCCTCTTCCTATCCTCCCTAAGATACCCTCTCTCTCTCTCTCGTTATTTTTTGCCAAGTCAAACAAACCTCTATGAAATAGATGTCGCTGTTTCCCTTGTGAATAATATTAAATACCATTCAAATTGTGAAGTTGGAGTATATAATGTAATGTTTTGTTCTAATTTTGTGATGTCTCCGAAATGATCTATAATGTAATGTTTGAAATCAACATGCATCTATTTTGCGTTTTACACTCTATGATGATTACAGTTAAAAGGAGCAATATAAAATTTATAGTTGTGATTTCGGTTCACAACTCAAATTATAAAGATAGATTGATTATCGCCTCCCTCACCATTATAATATTAATAGTTGATTTGATTAAGAATAATTGAGTATATAAATAATGACAAGTTTGTACGTACAAACTTCCTCAAACATAGTCATTACTTGACTTTCATTTCCGAGGACCTGTAGTTCAATTAATGGTATAAAATATGCATTTTGACATATCCAAACGACTCAGATTATGGTATATGAGTGATTGTAGCTATTGCAGTAAAACTTGTATTAAACTCTTTTATAAATCATGTCGTTATAGTTCATGACTATGAAGATTAAAAAAATTATGTCGTTATAATTCAATTAGTCTCAACAACCAAACCATGTATAATATGTGTTAATGTAACAAATAAATATAATGATCAATTAGCTCGGATTATATTAAAAAATAATTCATAACTCGTGAAGATTAAAGAAAAAAAATCAAATTACGCGTAAGTATAAATGACTGTGTGTTTGTCCAATATAGAATTGTCGGGACTCGATCAGCTCTGTCTCTCTGTACATGGCAAATCAGTATAAATTAAATTCAAGAGTCCATCTATCTCCCCCAAAGTCCCCACCCAGCCAAAATCAAGAGAGAAGGCCACCTTTTTCCTCCGATCCTCCCCTTTGCCTCTCTCTGTGCTGTGCGTCATGCCGGCGGCGAGTCGAAATAGCATCGGCGGCGGCGGCGGCGGCAGGGGATTCGGTATAAACGACGACGTGGACATCCTGACGGAGGTGCTGAAGCGGCTGGACGGGAGGTCTCTGTGCGTGGCGGCGTGCGTGTGCCGGCTGTGGAGCAGCATTGCCCGCAACGACTCCCTGTGGGAGGAGCTCTGCTTCCGCCACGTGTCCCCCGGGGCCCGGCCGGTGGTGGTGGCGCTCGGGGGATACAAGCGCCTCTACATGGTGTGCGTGCGCCCCGTGCTCAAACGCCTTGCCCTGGCCCGGCCTCGTGTTTGGAGCCCGGTTGAGGTGCAGCTCTCCCTTTCGCTCTTCTGCGTCGATTACTACGAGACCCTCGCCGGGAGTGGGCCACCATCGTCGCTCCTGTTTCTCTGCAACCCGGTTAACGTTTGACTGTTTTCTTTTCTTTTCTTTCCGCGCCAATTGACAAATTCATCATCGTCATCATTATTTATTATTATCATAACCATATATCATAAGATTGTAAGAATAAAGAAAGTGTGAATTAATGATTAGACCGGTAAGATTTTGTACTCTGCTGGTCTGTTAGTCTTTTTTGCTCTACTTGATTGTATTCTAAGTGATTGTATTCTTTATTTATGTATTTTATAATTTCGCTAAATTACAGGTTTGTTCACTCAAACTTTATAAATCTTTCACGATTGCCACCCGAATTACTTTTCTTTATTATTGGCCACTTACTTTACGAATCATTTCACCATTAGTCACCGACCGTCAGATTCCATTGACTCTGTCATATTTTTTATGACGTGGCCAACAGAAATGCTGACAGGATTGACAAAAGGATGAGGTGAAATTTTTTATTAAAAATACAAAAATTTAAATAGTTAAAAAGCTCATCAATCATCCTCAATTAAAAGTCTTCCACATCAACACCTTTCCCTCTTACAACCTTATCCCCTTCCTCTCCATCAAATTGCCACTTAAGAACACTCGGAAACAAACAGTAATTGAATTGATTAAAGAGTAATTACAAATATTTTAAAGCAAATTAACACCACCTCTGAGGTCACGAACTCGCCAAGTGCCATTGGTCGTTGCTCACGATCAGGTGCAGGAGACCACATGAGTCAAGTAGCAGGCCTTGCTTGTCGTAGTTGTCGAACTAGCGCTTGGTCTTCTCCATTGTGGCTTTGATCGCCAGGGCGGGGGCACTGTCGGGGGCATAAAGTTTCAGCGCCCCTGGTTTCTTTTTGTCTCCCACAACTCCAAATCCCTAGTGGTCGTGGTGATTTAGATCTTCGATGATCTCCGATGGCAATCAGGTAGCTCCGGCGCAGCTGAATTAATCACTTGAACAAAATTTCACCACCTCGTTTTACTTCCAATCCTCCCTCCACTACCCACAAAAAAGCAAAAATGGGGAAGAAATGAAGAAAAAAATGCTACAAACGACCTCATTCTTTCTCTCTTCTGTGCCCTCCTCCTCTGCTTACACCATCTCAACCCTCCCCGCACTTACTCAAACAAAATAGTGTTTCTATTCCCCAAGCAATTCAAGATCTGTTTGTCCTCTTCGTCCCAATCGTTTTGTCTTCCTTCCAATGCTCCCCGTTGTTGTCACCGACCTTCGAAGACCGCTCAAGATCCTGGCGGCGTCGGTGATTAGGATGGCAAAGAACATGAGATTGGGATCTATTTGTTCGATTATGAGTGGAGCATTAGCGATGGAGGAGCCAACGAGGCAAGGGTTGTTTAGCTGGGATGTCGGGTCGTTGCTACAAACGACCTCATTCTTTCTCTCTTCTGTGCCCTCCTCCTCTGCTTACACCATCTCAATCCTCCCCGCACTTACTCAAACAAAATAGCGTTTCTATTCTCCAAGCAATTCAAGATATGTTTGTCCTCTTCGTCCCAATGGTTTTGTCTTCCTTCCAATGCTCCACGTTGTTGTCACCGACCTTCGAAAACCGCTCAAGATCCTGGCGGCGTCGGTGATTAGGATGGCGAAGAACATGAGATTGGGATCTATTTGTTCGATTATGAGTGGAGCATTAGCGATGGAGGAGCCAACGAGGCAAGGGTTGTTTAGCTGGGATGTCGGGCTGTTTTTCAGCTAAACATTGATGGCAGAGTCAGATCGAGAGTCAATTTCCTTACACCACTAAAAATCTGCAATACGAAATGTATAACTTCCACTTATATCCAAGATTTGTAGAAAATCATCAATGTTATCACAACTACAACAACCACCCACCCACCTACATCAACAATTACTCCTATGAGCTGGAAGATAATGGTCAACAATTACCAATACTCCTTCAACACACACATGCTTCCATTATGAGTCTTATTATTGTGTATTGTTCATTGTTGTTCTTCTTCCTTGTATAAATATAGTATGAACCCTTTGTAACAAATCAATCATCAGTCAATAAACCAAACACCCAAAGGTTGCTTCACCAAATGTATCATGGTATCGGAGTTGGATTTAGAATCCAGTGAAGGGAAACCCCCAAAGACGAAAAGGAAGAAAAGAGTTCGTTAGAGTTTTCATACCTTCTTCTGCCATTCTCCAATTCTCAGTCTTGAGAAATTCCTTGCCCATATTGATATTCTTCAATTTATGCTTCCGCCATCAAAATAATCAAATTCGGGAGTCAGTCCCATCAATCTCCGACCAACAGCTTTGATTTTCGTCTTGCTGTCTCCGGTGAAGTCTTCCTATTCCCGTCGTCGCTGCCATTACTCTGAGTTCTCGCAATCACCGTAGCATTAGAGGATCCGCCTCGTGCTTCGCCTGAAAGAAATCAACGATTTGGAAGTGGAACAAAATACCTTCCGTGATCGCCCCTGTCTCCGTCAGTAACCGCCGTCTTTTCTCAATCAAGGCCTTCATTGCCAATTCAAGTACTGGCGCTCAACATCGCCAGATTGCACCATTCCCATTCGACCGTTCGAGGTCATATGCATCAGTCTCAGCTCTGTCAATTCTTCTTCGGCGGCAGTACCGCAACATCATATCAGTAAGAGAAAGAGGTTGTCATAGTAGCCCTTTCTTCTCGTCTTCGTTTGCTCATCGTCTTGGGGTCTCTATTTCCCCTGTTTCCTTCGCGGCCTAGACTAGAGTCGTTGTTGTTTGACGACGAAGTCCTTCCTGGCGCCAAGTCTCCCCAAACAACTCTAGGAACCTATTGTTAATCGGTGCTTCCGCTATACTTGGAGAAGAAGCAGACAAGGCGAAGAAGTCGATACCGCTAAGGCCTCCCAAATCGACCGTTGCCATCACATTTCGACGCGCCATCATTGTGTTCATCTTCACTATCGTTGTTAATGGATCCCTTGATCTGTCGCTCCAAAGAAGCACCCTCTAGACTCCAACCACCGCCTCTCTTCCAAAAGAAAATCGAAGAAGTAGGTGTGGCCAGTTCCCTCGCACCGCCGAGCTGAGGGACTCCTACTTCGGTGGCTGCCACCCATTTATCTCTGGCGGAATGATATGCATCGCCATTTCAAAATCACCCAAGAATTAGCGGGAGCATAACTTGTAGTCGGCCCCTCAAAGAAGAGATCGTTCCCTCGGCGTCCAAAGGGCAAAATGAGCCAAGTAAAGATCGACACCTCAACTTCACAAGGGAAATCACGATCAGATCATGCGCTGGACGTTCAGAAGGTAGGACGATCCAAGAAGCGATCGTCCCCTCAGCGTTCAACGGCAGTCGCGATCCAAGAAATGATCGTTTCCTTGGTGTTTATTGTTGGGCAAAGACAAATTATTCATCACATTTCAAGCTGGGAATTCACAGTGTTCATTCTCCAGATTGAGAGGGTGAATAGGGAAGATATTGTAAGGATGTTAGCCACCAAAAATGTTGCAACATATCCCAAATTGAAGTTCCAGCGAAAAGCTGAAGGGAAAGCTAGCTAGTCAATGAGCAGTCGTTATTCCAAAGAGAGAAAAGTTAGCTGAGAAGCAGCAACTTTTCCTGTGAACCGTAAATGGCGCAAACCCGAACCAGTGAGTTGATTTTAGTCGACATATCCATCAGGTTGCTCGAAGAGAGTCCATCAGTGGCCTCCAACATTAACCTCGTACAAGATGTTCAAAAGGCAATCATGATCCAAGCATTATCGTCCCCTTTTCCGTTCTTCACATTTCCTTCTCAAGCTTGTCATTCATGTCTACGCTTGAGGGGAGTGTAGGAAACCATTAATGTTATCACAAATACAACAACCACCAACCTGCATCAGCAATTACTCTTATGAGCTGGAAGATAATGGAGTGTAGGAAACCATCAATGTCTCACTGGAGTCCAACCAGTTCACGGTTGCTAAGACCATGAACTCAAGCCCCAGACTGTGAAGTGGCCAAAAATGGTGTGCTTTTGTCTGACATCAAGGTCAAGCCTCCGAGTTCACGGCCGTGAATAGTAAGCGTGATGTCGACACTTTTGGGCTGTATAAAAGACAGCAACGGGGAGAGAGAAAGGAGAGCTTGATTCGGGCCTAAATGTACACATTTTACCCCTCATTTCTTATTCGTTTAGCTTAGTATTTCATCGTTCCTCGACATATTTTACGCTAGGTTGTGCTTGTTTTGATACATTTCAAATCCTAGCACGTGTGGAAGGGTCGAGGTCGAATTTTGGGATAATTGGAAGTCAAAAAGAGCAAAAACCGAAGAAAAGTCCGAAGGCGACCGTGACAATTGCCCTGTAATAGTGAAGTGCAGGCGTCCAGGAAGCAGCCGCAATTCACAGTCAAACAAGTGAGTTCATGGTCTCCTAAGACCGTGAACTGGAGCCACAAACCGTGAACCTCGAATAGTCCAGCGAGGTTTTAGAGGTTACTGACGCCAGGCGAGTTCACGGTCGCTAAGACCGTGAATTGGGGCCATTAACCGTGAATCCTGTAGAGTGAAGCGGTGTGTTTTGGACGACACTGAGTTGACGGACGTGTTTAGGTGTTCACGGTCGTGAACTGGCCAACGCGGTTGTGAACTGGTCGCTTTCGGGAAAATATGAAGACAACAGCAGTTAGAGAGAAAGAGAGCTTCATTTTAGATTAGGTTTTCATTTTTCAGAATAAAGAGGATTCTAGTGAGAGGTTAGGGTTTCTTGAAGAGTGAGAAAGTGTCTTCTTCTTCGGATTTTGGAGAGAGAAAGAACAAACCAAAGAAGAAAGAAGGCCAGGGTTTGCTCCAAGTGGTGAATTGGGAAGATTCTCCCCAAGAGAAGATCAACACAAGCTCAAAGGACATTGGAGGCATCACCATGATGGTTTCTACCTCTTCCTCTTGTGTTCTTCCCCTTTCTAGTATGGAGTAGTTTCCTTTTTCACTTGGGTGTTGTGAAACCCTAACTATTTGGCATGTAGTTGTTGTGTGAATTGAATGATTGTTTATGGGTATTGTTTAATTCAATGATTGAGGTATTTTTCAGGTTGATTGTGCATGTTTTTGCTTAGCAATCTAATTGGCCATTCTAACCTAGATTAGGGGGAAAGCCCCCTTTCAAGGGAGGCTCAATTGAGTTGGGATTCCTAGTG